ACAATACCTAACAACACATCTTAGCAGACAGGACCACAATAGCTAGCTAATTAAAAAGCAGCACCACCAGGATGTTTGACCACACACGGAACCATATAAGGGACCCCTCCCTTATTAGCTAATCCCTTAACAAACCCCTCCTCTGACTATTAATCAACACACTATAAATTTGCCAGTGTTGTCTTACTAAGTTGCTGATTCCTTTTGGAACCTAGCCCACTTCTGAGGGGTATCAATCCTCAATAAATGCCTGTACTTGGATTAGAGGCGGCCTGATTCTGAATTCTTTGAGATGATACCGCCACAACATACCATGAAACCACAATATTGAACTTCAAATAAAACAATGACAAATAAATGTACTAAATATACTGAAATTTATTGCCCTACAGAATGAAAAAGAAATTTAAGAACAGCACCTTCCATAGTCTGTATATAGCATTGTTTTTCAGAGCATTCTGATTGTGGTAAACCTGTGTCTGTAATACTATACTCAGTTCTGGGTACTGCATTTTAGGAAGGACACTGATAAAATGGAGAATGTTCAGAGGAGGGCAATCAGAATGGCAAATGGACACAAAAATAAGTTGCAGAAAAATAAGTTATTCCCTAACAGACAAATGAATAAAGGATATAAGTAGCTCTCCTAGGAGAAAAAAAGCAAATAAAAGCAACCATAGAAAATAAAAGACAAGTAGTGACCAGAAAAGATGGCAGAGTAGGAAGAAGCAGTAAAAACCAACTTTTTTTTTTCACTACTACTTCAATAAAGACTGAAGAATAGTAAAGATCAAGTAGTGATTAGGAAAACTAAGAAAACAGCATCATGTGTCATTTTTCAAGCCTAGGTCAGGATAAGGAGCCAATGGAGTGTAGGTACTGAAGAGGGAGCCCATCCAGAAAGGTCAGCTCAAAGTCTTGTAGCATGGGGATAGAGCTGGGAGGGCATGGCTTTGTTTCACGGCAAGGAGCAGCATAATAAATCCAGTACAGACAAGAGTCTGAAGCTGTATACTAGGCATGGAGCAAGAACAGAAGCAAGCTTATAGCTCTGTCACTCTGGCCCAAGAGCAGGATCTTGAATTCAGCCTATAGTCCCAGGCTGGGACCTGCAGTTGAGTACCCAAGCCAGGGAGTTCAGCTCAAAATTGAATCTGTAGTTCTGTGACTCTGAACCAAGAGAACCTTTCAGCTAGTTAATGGAGTGGGCAGCTGCCTACTAGAGTTCCAATGGGGGCAAAGTTGCAGCTGTGTCATCCAGACAGAAAACAAAGAGGCAGAAATTTCACCCTAGATCACTTTGTCTTTCCTTCCTTCCTTTCTTCCTGGAGAAAGAAGGATTAAATGATTGGGAGAACAAGAGACTGTTATAAATAGGGTTTATCTGGATTTCAGCAAGGCATTTGACAATGTCTTTCATGGTATCACTGAAGAACAAGATGGAGATATGTTGGTTGCATAAAAGTATACCTGATTACATGATTAATGCAAGTTTGAATAATGTGAAATTCAATTTAGTGTGAATTATAAAATTATACCAAGTCACATTTAATATAAGCCCAAATTCAACTAATGTGACATGTGAACTGAGAGCTTTAATATACTGCTACATTGTCAGTTTGCACTTATTCATGACTGAACAATAACATCATGTGTGGATAATGATGAGCTTCTGCCTACCATGTTATCAACAGTTGTATTAATTTTTTTAAAAGAGCCCTTAATAAGGTGAACATACTTCAGATGGAAACATTGCCAGTACAAATAAGAGGTTTGTTACATTAGAACCAAAATTTGATGTGATTAAATGGCACAAATGTGGTCAGTATAACTCTAAATTAGACAAAATGTCATAACACCAGAGCCAACAGTAAGGAATACAATAAAACACATAGGCAAAAGAAACAAAAAAGGCCAAGGTTTTATTATTTATTTTTTTTGTGGCTTGCAAATAATCATATGGAATAGAAATGTTACCATGACAGAAACAAGCATATTTTAGCTATGTGGATTGAAGATTGCAGTAAAAAATGCTTTCCTTTTAGCAAAGCAGATATTTAGGCAAAAGCTTCAAGTTTATTTAAGGCTGCGAAAGAAAATGGAAATGAAATGGATAGTGAAGAAACTTACTACACCCATTGGTTGGTTCCACAGCTTTAAAACTGAATTCAACTGCAGAATGTTAAAAATTACCAGAGAGTGTAGATGAGGATGCTGTGGCTATAAATCTTCATGTTTTCAAGAAAATACTTAAAGAAGGTAAATACTATAATCAACACATTTTTAATGTGGATGAAACAGGCTTATTCTGGAAAAGGATGCCTTTCAAAATTTATATTTTGAAAAAATAAAAGACTCAACTTGGATTTAAAGTATCACATAAGAATCAGAACACTTATTGGGAGGTAATCTAAAAGGAGATTTTAAATGGAAATCAATGCTTATTTATCAGTCTCGAAATCCTCTTGCTCTGAGAAGCCAAAACTATCTAATGTTTTTAGTTTTTTAGTAGTTAAATAAGAAAGCACGAGTGACTAGAACTGTTTTTGAAGACTGATTTTCAAGTTATTTTAGCACAGCTATTGAAAAATATTTCAAGGACAATAATACAGCATGTAAAGCATTAACTATTTTAGATAATACTCAAGGATATACAGCTATGTGTAGCTGACCAATGAGAATTTGAGCATGCAAATTCACCAAGATATGGATAAAGTTTTCTGAAGCTACTAGCATGTAAGGATTTAAAAAAAGAAAAGACAGTTCAGTTTATGGAAAAATATTTTAAACAAGAGTAATTATGTTTTTATTTGAGTATGGTAGTAATTTTTAAAACTTTGCTTTATATAACTATTTTATTACTTTATAATAAATGAATCAGAAACAGTTTCTGATCCTTTGCTATTATGTTACATTAAAAAAGAGATAAAAACCTTATTTTTAATAATTTTCATTGCACATTTCCATTAGGCAAAAAATAACCATATTTTATTATATACAGTCACTCCTCAACTTTGTAATGTTCTTAGAAAATGAAGCATAAGCAAAAAAAACCCAAATGTTGATACACTGAACCTACGGGAAATAGGGGGTTAGGTTCCCATGACCATCAAAAACTGTAATCTTTCACTGAAGATTGCTGAAAATACACTTTCCTGCATATAATTTGTTATAACAAAAGATTAATTCTGATGATATGCACTTCTTCTAACACAGTAACCATAAAATAACCCATAAAATGCTATACACAAAATGTAATTGGTAACATTTTTTCTTGCTAGTAATAGAATTGTGACCTTTTGTGCTAACAGCTCAATAAAAAAAATTGATTTCAGAAATCTACAGAAACATATATACTATATAGCAAATAAAAACTCTTAAAACTAAGACACTTTTTAACCTGAATCGTAAATTACCTTTCACTGTGTCAAATGGCAGTAAGAGGGCTCTGTACTGTATACTGTACTTTCCTTCTTTTTGTAGGTATAATGAATTGATGATTTGTTAACACCAAACTCACAGCCTAAAGTGGCCACAGACATTCCAGCACAAAGTATATTTAATACCTTTATTTTCTCATTAAGCTGCATCACTGACTTTGCACACTTGGGCTTAGGGCCCAAAGGACTTGTATGACACTTTGGGGGTATAACTGCAACACAAAACTTGAGTTTTAAAGGCAATGAATACACAAGAACCTCTTTACTCTCTAATGGTATGGTGAACAAGATCAGTGAAATGCCTAGTAGGATACCAGCCACTCCACAAACTTGCATTAATCTTGCCTCTCATTTTTTTCTCTACTGCACATAGAATGTATGCAGTTGCCAGTGCAAAAGTGAAAATAAGGTTACTAATAAAATCAAGTGAATGTTTAAATTCCCAAATGTTAAAGACAGGAATGTTGAGGATTGACTGTAATTATAACTTCAAATAATGCAAATTTGAACTTGACTACTTAATGAGATTCATTATTTGCACTAATTGGGGCCTAGCAGATTTTGAGTAGGGACAGCTAGATGGTGCAGTGGAGAGAGGGCTGGGCCTGGAGTCAGAAAGACTGGAGTTCAAAGCTGGCCTCAGACACTTACTAGCTGTATGACCCTGGGCAAGTCACTTAACCCTGTTTGCCTCTGTGCCTCATCTGTAAAATGAGCTGGAGAAGGAAATGGCAAACCACTCCAGTATCTTTGCCAAGAAAACCCCAAATGGGACTTTGCATATGGCGTTCATTGTTCTGAAAAAATGGAAGAGTCTTCCAAAAATAATTTGAAATCTATTTGCTGCTAGGAACTTATATCTTCATCTGGAAGGGCTGAAACATCATTTCTTCAAAACAAGCTTCTCTGTAAAATTACTCTGGTAAAATGCAATGATAAAAATAACTACCAACAAAGAAATTAGGTACTTCCATAAATGTAATGTTTTAGCATAAATATGTACAGTGTTTTAAATATTAAGAACTGTTTTTTGTATGTTTTATATGATAGTACCTAGTGTTATGCTACTAAGACTAGGTTTCAGGGGTTATCTTGTTTCATCGTGTTAGTATAATCAATACTATATACTAGTATAATCAATACTATTTATCTTATTTAAAATTCACAAATCTCCATTGTCATCCAATTGTTAATGGTAGAAATAATATAAAAAAATATGTAACATGTAACGTTTTTTATTTTTATAAAAAATTCTATAAAGGAGGTAGGCAAGTATTTTACAGATGGAGAAACAGAGGATCAGCAAGCTTTACTTGCTCAAAGTCATACAATTGATTAGTAGCAGAGTTATGAAGAATTTGTCTAGCTTGAGCAGAAATGTGACAGACTACATAATTTTTATTATTATCTGAAATTTAGCAAGGGTAGTAACTAATCTGCTGTTCTTATTTTAAATAAATATACATCTTTGAGTCTTAGGGAGATTCATGAAAGTTTTCCAGCCTTTTAAAAAATCTTGTTTGGAAATAATGACAAACATTATTTAGCGAGATTAGGCTATGCTTGTACAAAGATCTTACATTTTATTTTAATAGTTTCCATTTTCTCAAAGTACTTTCTCATGTATTTTCTCATATATTACAATAATAAACCAGAAAAGTAAATTCAAACATCCCAGTGTGTCACAGATTTGGTGCCAAAATAAACAAGTGCTTATAGATCTTAGCTGATGGATCTACCACGTAGACTACTATGATAAACTTGTTTATATTTGTAGTTTGATATTACGCGTGTACACCTGATATTAATGATATTCAAATACCTATATATGGTCATATGATCAAACCACCCCCATATATGAATCTTATTCCTTCCTCAGATCTATCTGGTAGGATCCCTATTCTTCCTTCAAAGCACTGTTCACATGCCATTTCTTAAACAAGGCCCTTCTGATTCTCTTCCATACCACTTGCTCCAGTTATTAGCACTCTCTTCCTCTTGAAATTGCATTTGTATATATTTTAAATTTCCTTCCGAAAATGTATATAGATAATAATGTATGTAGATAAGTTCCTTGTATATATTCCCCCAGGAGACTTAAAACTCCTTGAGGGAAAGGGCTGTCATTCTTGTCTTTGTAGCCCCAGAAGCCTAGTACATACCTTGCTCATAGTACGTGCTAGATGTTTTTTGAATTAAATTAACTAGATGTAAACTAGCACTGTAAACTATAAAGTGCTACAAAAATTTTTATTGTTACTACATTCTATTTATTACTTCCTATATAATAAAAAAAGACCATACAATAAAATTAAACTGGTCATTTAATGATAAATATTTAATCTGTGGTATGATGGGGCATTCTATTGACTAGAGCTAAGTTAAATTAACATACAATCTAAGGAATATAAATTTTATCCAGGGCTTTAAAATACTCATAATTTTTATTTAAGGTAATATGCTCAGATGTTAGATCAGTCAAAAAGTATCTGACATATTTCCCAAAATCTTGCAGTTAACTAAATTTTGAAAATCAAAAATCATTATCACATGTTTAAACATTTCCTGCTCTTTTAAATGGAGTTCTCTTCCAATGCTTCATTTTCATTGTTTAAGCACGTTCCTTTCTGATTACAGATTTATCTTCAGAGTGTCCCTTGTCATGCTGTTGCAGATCAGTTGTTTTCGCACAACTAAACATATTCTTTGTAGGAAACTGGGCAATTTCTGTGTAGGGAACTGTGGCATCCATCCTGCTAAGAAAATTGTAAGCAGGAAGAGGTGGCTTCCACTCTTCATCAGATAAAGTAGCTAGGAAAAGAATAATGTATTAACAGTTAAAAGTTAAAAAGTTAAAAGTGCAGTTGTTAGAAAGCTAATTAATGAAAGTACACAAAAGGTTTTTTTATGGTATTATAATTTTCAGTCATTTGTGCAAAGAAAACATTTTATTTTCACTAACAGGAGTGACTTGGTACATGTGTTTTATTTAGGAATATAATTTTTTTATTTTTTAAATCTTTGGTTATCAGCCCTTATACACACTTTTTGTTCAACATTAAGAGTATATCACATGTATGTACATATGTAAGTATGTATGTATAATGGTCTGCAAAAACTGCAGCTGAATAGACTGAATTAGAAAATGGAAAAATGGTTTCATTTTTCAGATAAGCTAAGCATTAAATGTAGTCAAAAAGAAATTCAAGATTAAAAAAGTCTGTTATTTCCATTACTATAAGAAGAGATAAAAGAGAAGGAGGGGATGGAAATGAGGTTGGAGTTTCATCTCCTTTTGCTACCATATTAGTAACTAGAAATATAACATAAGTTAACTGATTTTTATTTGTATCTCCAATAATTCTCCACTAAGATAACCCATTTTAGACCTGAATTCTGGAATTTAGCTGAAATTTTCTAAAATGCTATTTGGAAAAACCATAAACAATAAGGGAGATTGAGCAAGGAATTTATTCTGATCACATGTATTTCAATTTCCTATATACATTACATGTGTAACCAAAACTTTTTACAAAAATATAAATCCAAATGAAGAAAAATGCACTCTGCTTTCTAGAAACTATATACTTTCAGCAAAATGTCAAACAAGTCAGAGATGTTTATGAGACAAATCTAAGCATTTCTCACAAATTAACAAAAAGAGAAAAGACTTTTTAAAGTCCAAGGAATCAAGTTAATTTCAATAAATTAACAATTTATCAGATTGTAATCAAACAAAAAAAATTGACAAATGTAAATTTATAGTCTTCCTTTTACACTTTTTTTTTTGGACTGGACCTGTGATTTCATTTAGTATAGGGAACTCCCATTAATGTAGATCAGTATCTTCTCTTCAATTTATAGTATTAGAGAGTAATTTATTTGAGACAATGAGCATTTAAGTGATTTGACAATAGTCACAAACAAATATGAATCACAGGCAGGATTTGAAACCAGGTATTAACAAGTGCCATGACTAGCTGGCCTCTATCCACTATTCCATATTTCCACTCATTCCAAACATGAAATGTTTTAGATTGGTGATTCCTACAGTCAAGGTAGTAAATTCAAAGATGATACAAAGCTGAATTTAAATACTTCTTGAATATAACAGGTAGGTATCTTATAATAGGTATAATAGGTAGATTATGGTAAGATAGGCCTTTGCACTAAAATATAACAAAAGAAAGCAAAACAAAACCTCAGGCAAAGCAAATCATTTAACAATTCATTAATTTTTAAAGGTAAACACTGCAGCTTAGTGGCCTGACCATGTTGATAGGATATTAAAATGATTTAAATCCTGTTCTGTTGAGGACCAGCTGACTTAAACTGAAGACAAAACAAATCCTGTCTTTGGCTAAATGATTCAGAACTGGAAGGGACATTAGAAGGGATTTAATATATTTCTTCATTATACAGATGAGGGAAATGAGGCCCAGAGAAGTTAAGTGATTTGCCCAAGGTTGCACAGGTACAGCCAGAATTTAAGCCAGATCCTCTGACTCCTAATTAATCGGCAAAATATAAAAATGTTTGGTAATAGATGTTACAAAGGTAGGGAAAGAAAAGTTTTACAAATAAAACTAGTATTAACAAAAAAGTGAGAGGCACTGTGGCATAATGAATAGAACACCAGTTTTGGAGTCAGGAAGACCTGCCTTAAAGTCCTGCCTCTGACACATACTAGCTGTGTGTGAACATGGAAAAACCATTTAGGCTTTCAGTGTTCTAGCAACTCTCTCAATACTAAGTTACAGATAAACATCAATGAAGAGAGTTTTTAGGAGTTTCTCACAGCAATGGATTCACAGGTCTGGATCAAAGAAACAAACAAGGAAGGCAGAAGCAGCACATTTCATAGCTGTGACAGATACATACTCTAGGGGATGTTGGATAACAAGCTGGTACAATGAAGAATGTGGTCAATTCACTAGCACACTTACCTTGACAAGAAGAATACATTTCTGGGGAAGGTTTTTTGGAGGATACACACACACACACACACACACACACACACACAACTTCTTACCTTGATTGCAACAAAACATATTATTTTGGGGATCCAAAATGAGTGGTGATTCAAGAAAGATAATGGTCTCTAATAATGAAGTGGCACTTCTCTTTGTCCAGGCCAATCCTATTAAGGTATCCTTGATTTCATCCTCTCCCTCTCTCTACAGTTTAGCTTCTCTTTATCTACTTGTTATTTCTTTACTGCCTTGAAACATGCCAAAGTCTCCTCATACCTAAGAAATCTTCAAAAGAGTCCCTCATTTCCTCAAGCTATGGTTCTATATATCTACTTCCCTTTTCAACATGATATTAATTATATTATGGTGTATTAAATTATATCACACTACATTATACTGTTATGCTAAATTACATTATATTGAATGTTATCATATATTATATTGTAATATTATGTCATATTGTTGTTGTTGTCATCAGTTGTTTCAGTTGTGTCTGCGTTTTCGGGACCCAATTTGGGGTTTTCTTGGCAAAGATACTGCAGTGGTTTGCCATTTTCTTCTCTAGTTCATTTTATAGGTGAGGAAACAGGCAAACAGATTTAAGTGACTTGTGCAGGGTCACAAAAGGTAGTAAGTGTCTGAGGCTAGATTTGAACTCAGATCCTCCTGACTCCAGGTCAGTGTTCTACCCACTTCACCACTTAGTTGTCCATTATATTACATTATATCAGAAAATGCCATGTAGTTATTTTGTTAACAGATGATAAATGTAGCTCTACTGTTACATTACTGAGCACCATTGGTATGGCCAATCATACTAACTGAACAGCTTTGGTGTTCAATACACATATAGCTTTACGGTGCTCCTTATAAGGGATAGGGATGGGGACTGGATATATTATTTTATTAGTATAGAGGAATACTAGATGAGGAATCTCCCTCTACCAATGCAGATCATCACCTGTTCTGCACACTGTATTGTCAGGGAGTTGCCTGGACAGAGAGGATAAGTGATGTACTCAAGGTCACACAGCTATTGTGTGTCTGAGGCAGGACTAAAATCCAGATCTTCTTGGTTCTAAGTCCAGCTTTCCATCCACTATACCATTGCTGACTTTAGTTCCTCATAAATCAGTTGGAAATTAACTTGTAAGTTCTGTCTATACACAGAGAAAGTCATTAATTACTCCAAGTCATTTAGTAAGTCCTTATGTTACCCTGATTCAAGTTTTTTAGCATTATTATCTATGACTCAGATCTAATCAATCAATGAACAAACTTTAAGTGCCTACTGTATGCCAGGCACTGTGGATAAGACAAAAACTGACACAGTTCCTGTTCTCATGGAACTTACATTCTGATGGGAGGCAGGGGAAAAGAGGGAGAAACAACATGTACATACAGAATAAATATAGAATAAACACAGAATAAATACGATATAAAGAGGAGAGAGAAAATTAGCAGTAAGGGGTTACCAGGAAAGGATTCATGTAAAACATGGCCTTTGAGTTAAGTCCTGAAGGTTGTAAAGGATTCTTTGTGATAGAGGTGAGGCAGGAGTGCATTCCAGGTATGAGGGATGGTCAATAGCACAGAAATGGTAGATGGAATGTCATGCATCAGGAATAGAGGAAAGGCCACTTTGGCTGGACTGTAGAGTTCAGGAAGGGGAGCAGTGTTTCATGAGATTAGAAATATAAATTGTGGCTAGAATGTAAAGGGCTTTAAAAATCAAACGTGGATTTAAACCCCATGGAACAAAATTCACAGCTCTATTTACCATACAAATCTGAATACTTACTGATGGGACTTTCTAATCCTGTTTCTAATCTCTGAAGCCACAGCAAAATGTTTTTTTCATTTATAGTTTGATCCAAAGGAAATGCAGATACTTGGCCCTGTATATGGAGGTCCACTAAAACAAGAAGAGGCAGTGGAGGCAGATGCTTAAAGTAAGCTTTCAGTATTCCTCTCCCCACAGGAGTAGTCTTACTATAAAAATGAATAATTCAACAAGTTAACATTTTATTTCTAAAACAAAATATCCAAGGTTATATTCTGATTGAAATTAAATTTTGAATCTGTATGATACTAACAATTTCTATTTATGATAAAAACCTACTGTAAAATTTTCTGGAGAATATAGCATTCTATGACTTCTTGGAAGAAATACATGTTGTGCCTAATAATGTTGGGGAAATATTTCTTACCATAGAATAAAGTGCTCCTCTGGTGAGAAAAAAAAAAAATTTTTAAAAAAGATTCTAAAAAATCAAGTCCAAAATTATTCAATTGTTTCCATGGCCAATAATTTCTGTTCAAATTCAGCCACGAATCAGAAGCAATACCTGTTAACTCAAAAATCAAACACATTCAAATAACCATAAGATGTAATTTTCCCCATTTTGTGTATTTTAAAACAAAATGTACATGTTCTTTAGAATAAAAAGAAGGAAATAGATCAGTAATAAGTCTAAAGAGGCCAGAAAAGAAAACTAGTTATCTGGTTTTTCTCAGAAAACAAAACACACTGTGGTTTCATGTTATGTAAATATAGCACTTCATTTTGAGACATTATGATTAATAAAAAATCAGAAAAGCTAATAGTCTATTTTCTCCATTTTTCTTATATTTTATTTAAATTGATTTTTCTTCTAATTTTCAATTTAAAAAATTTTCATTTTTCAAGTAGGCTATATAATTCAAGAACCCAATTCATAACAATGATATCAGCCAAAAGCATCTGCTAAAATAGTTTAAATGAGCTCATCTCTAATGAGCTAAAAATGTAACCTTTTATCTGCTTAATATGAATGAGGATGATTAGAATATATTGATTATACTAACATACAGTAATGTATATCACATTTGTAAAGAAAATATATATATAAAAATTTTTGAAAGCTATCTATTCTAAATATATTGGAACCTGCCACAACTCTACTGGTAGAGCATAATTCATCCAAGTACAGTTCATTTAAATACCAAAAATACTTTGCTTTAATATTATTTCAGCTATGATCTGTTCCCACAGAATGGACACTGAATAGGAAAGCTCTGGTAGATTTTTTTTTCATATAGTAAAAACTTAATTATAACATTTTCTCCAAGATACTTTTAGTTACAGTAAAAAATAAGAAATATGTCATAGTATCCTTACAGATTTAACCAGCAAGGGATGAGTGTTTCCAGGTGTTTTTGCTTTACTAGAGGTAACATTTCTATTTCATCCTTGTCATTTAAATTGCCATCTCTGAAGAAAATAAGTAATGGTTTCTGAAGTCTTAAATAGAAGGGAAGATTTTCCACTGTTATTTCTGGCTGTTAAATACAAAAAACAAACAGAAGAAAAGGAAGAAAGAGAGGAATGAGGGGAGAGGAGGTGGGAAGACAGAAGAAAGGAAAAAAGGAGGAAAAGGAATACGAGATTATCATACATAAAACTGAGGAATACAATACAATCTGCTCTTACAAGTTTACATTTTGTCAAGCATATGGTTTAAATGCAGGTTTCATTTAATTGCAAAATTTCCTATTTAGTGTACATTGATTTACTGATTGTAAAACTTATATTTGATTTTTAAAGACATTATTAACATCTATCCACATTGTCTTAAATAACATTAAAATTAATATTGAAAATATTAATATTTCAAGTATTGATATTTAAAAATAAAATCACTGATAAAGAGCTTTACTTATTTAATAAGAAGAATATGAAGCTTCTAGTAATCTCTTTCAAATTTATTACACTGTTTAAAGGTTCATCTGGAAGATCTAGAATCAAAAATACTAAACCATACATAATAAATAAATCCATTAAAATGGCAAACTTATCTTAATGTTCAAATTATTAACCTTCCCAATATTAATTTCTCAATGGAAAAAATAAAGTGCTTTTAAGTCTCTATTTTTAAGCAAAGTAAAATATCATTTAGTGCTTGGTAATATCTTATAATGGGGCTTTTAAGAGAATCATAAATAAATGAAGACACGATAAAAATTTATCTACTCCACTACCCCCTGGATTGAAAATAACTAGAAAAAATATGTCAGTATGTAACACAATGTTAAACCATATGATATTTTTACTACTAATTAAAAGAGAAAAATTTTTTGGAAATTTGTAGAAAGCAAAACATGTGATATTGGTCAAGGCTACTGAAATAATGCTAATGTATTTCTTAATCCTAAATTGACTTTTTCAAAGCAGACATGTAATTTTATTCACATGGAAACTTGTAGTGAGGAAACTTCTCATATACCGGAGCACAATTTTCTTTCTGCAATCATCTTACATAGCCCTTCCCTTAAAAAACATAACAAAACAGAACACACTATACTTCGTTAAATTTTCCCTTTTCATTCAATCCAGGTGAATCCTTCTCCTTTTCCTCTTTCCATCTCCTGTATCTCTTCCCCTGACCCCTGCTTTCATGCTTTAATGTCTTCCTCTTCCTACACATTGCCTTAGGTTGTAGGGTGTATTTTTTTTTTGTGGTGGTAGTTGCCCTTATCTATTTTTCTCTAATGATGTAGTAACAGCTGTTTTGTAAAAGAAGTATGTTATTCTACCACAAAATCTTATACCACTTACTTCTATTAACTAACAATCATATTAGCCTTACAAATTATCAAAATGCATATTAAATTTTGGTAGTAGATTAGGAAAGTTGCATTTATGCAAATTTAATAATAATATATAGCAGCTAGGCTTCAATCCAGTGGCCAAAGCCAGTAAAAGCTAGAAGAGTATAACAATGCAGAGAGAAATATTTTTTAGATATAATTTTTCTGATTTCAAATACCATTGATGCTATAAAAATATACTCACAAATATTTCCAACAATGCACTTTTTATTATTTGAACTATATCCTTAGCATCAGAATTAGAGAGCAGAACGCTATCTATTTTCCCTTCTTTGTGTCTGGCAAGCAGTAGTGCTGGAAGAGTCACAGCATATTTCTTTGACCTGCACACAGACATTGTAAGATTATTTTAATAAATAAGACATTGTAAGTATGTAAATCTAAATGAGGTGCCCAAGCAAATCAGAAGACCATGAGAGGATGAAACAAATGGGAAGCTCTAATGAGTAGTAAAAAGAAATACAATGCTGGACAAACAAACTTCTAATTGCTTGATTTTGGGAGACTGGCAGGCCTGGCAGATTCAAAAGAAGCGATAAATATAATCTCAGCTTGGTTTTCCAAATTCTCTTCTATACTATATACCTACCATTAAGCATACTGGCAAAACAACTAATAGTTATTGCGCCTTTCTGACCTAAAGACTCTCTAGGCTAAGAAGAGACTATTACCCACTTCTGACTACTAACTTCCATTCAAAATTCTCAATTAAATGTTTAAATGAGACAGTAATGAGGTTCCATATGATTCTTCCTGAGTCATATGCAAATTACTAATTCATATTTAAAAAGGACAGACATAAAAACAAGGTGAGCAGCCCGAATACCACTCAAAAAAACTGCTCAGAAACCAAAAATATATTTAAAATCTTAAGCCACGATCACATTCTAAATGAGTATATAATTGCCTAAAGGATCAAAGAGACAGTATTAAGAGATTTGTCAAAAGGGGGAGGACTTGTATGATATGCCATAGAAATCTTGGGTCTAAGATTCAACATTTTCATCAGTGGCATGGGTAAAGTATGATCATTGTTTGCATGGGATATTAATTATAGAAAGAGTGGTCAGGATAACAGAAAAAAAGGATCATAATAGAAAATTTAGAATTAGTCATGAAAAATATAATTATGTAATACAAAAAGAACTTAAACTGTATGAGGTATCCTAATTGAATTGTACTTGAAACTAAATAGGTTAGAAATGTCTTTAAATAAATTAGAGTCAGGAATGGTAGTACATTCCTGTAATTACAGCTACTGAATGAGGTGAAGATGGCAGATTTCTTGAGCTTGGGAGTTCTGAGCTACAGGGGCTATGATGATCAAGTGTGCATATGAAGTCTGGCACCAATACCATGAGCCCCTATAAGTATGGAAACTACCAGGTTACCTAAGAAGGGGCAAATCCACTCAGGTCAGAAACAGAGCAAGTCAAAGCTTCCCTGATGATTGGTAGTGAAATTACGCCATGAGTAAATAGCCCCTGTACTTTCAGTCTAAACAAAATAGGGAAAAAGGAAGAAGGTTGGGAAGGAAGTTATTCCATTGGAATAGCTAATTCCTAAGAAAGAATGAAAGAAAGAAGAAGGAAGAGAAAGGAAGGAAGGAAGGATACAAAGTATTTACATGCTCACTGTTATGATATTCACCAAACCTGACCCACTTGGTGGCTAAATTCTTCATTCTGCAGCAAGTGAAACTTCTAAATAATATTGGGCATTACAAGTAACATGATTAAAAGCTTCAAAAATATTGATTACAAGTATCATGTATCAGAATACATTATATTCACAGATGCCACTGACACCTCCAGAAATAACAGATTTTAGAGAACAATAAGCTTATGAACTTCAGTGATCACAAAAAAACTCTCTACATGGCCAGAACAATTCCCAAATGCACCCAACCCCACCCACTGCCCTCTAAAAATGGCAGAAGAACAAAAAGTACAGGGTCAGAAAAGTCAGGAAGATGAAGTAGAAGCTAATCAGTATTATTCTAGTGGTGACTTTGAACTGAATTAAGAGAACAGGCAAAGTGTCTAACATTCAATTTATCAGTATACCACACTATCTTCCAAATTTTTTTTGGAGCAATCCAAACTTTGGGATAAATAGCATGCCATACTTCTATTTTGTGTTCAACTGTTTCTTGGACAATTATGTACCCAGGGAGATTATGAAAAACTTCTGAATTATTTATTAAAACTGAAGAAAACAAAAAACTTACAGAATCAAAGCATCTTCTTCAGAATAGAATCCTGTGATGACATAACCTTTTAGACTATTTCCTGCTTCAATGAAATTTTCTTTTTCTACAAACATATAAAATACACAAAATTTTAAAATGTCCCCTTTAAAATCATGTTAGATTAAATACAAATTGAATGAATTGATTTATAAAAATTTGTATTTCTCTACACAAAAACGAGACATTTTAGAAATATTTGAATGTTGATATCTTAAAGACTTTTTTAACAGAACATTTTTAATACCATATTAACATACCCAGAGGTTTAACTACTTTTTGTACCAAAAAATACTGATACTAATATGTATATTCCTTCACTCTCTTCTACCCATTTCCTTAATCAGTTGCCACTCCTCTTCCTAAATGGAACCCCACATCCACACCTTTCTTCATGGATCTTTCTTTATGAGTTGGAACCTCAGCTTCATATAGTTGTATCTACACCCAACCCTGAAAGATTGTGCTGATTGTGTTAGCTGGCCAGTCCCCAAAAAGAGTAAAGAAAACAGTATTTTGTACTTGATGTGAGAAAAGATTTACTTTAGAGACTGCAATAAATGTCTCATAAAATAAACTTGTATCTTAAAATGTTCTAAGATAGCTACTGTAATCACTACTGTGTTTCTTCTCCCATATTAAATGGTTATTACCTTTAGCTGCCTTTTTCCTTTAAGATACTTGTAATATTTGCTTTTTCAAATTCCTCATTCATACCTGATGATCAGCATAGCCCATTACATCTCAGAAATCTTGGGTTCAAGAGCTCTTCCAGCTTGCCCAGTTGATGCCTCTTTTGCTTTCACTTAAGGATCTGAAATGTTACCCTTCACAGTGGCATCTGCATTTTAACAGTCCAATAGAGAATTAACCTAAAGCAATGAAGCTCTAACTATAAAATTTCAGGTTATCAGCTGGTATTTGGAAGGAAGATTTCTTTGGGACAAGTAGAACCTTTTCACCACCATACAAGCTACCACAAACTCCTTCTATTCATATCTTAAGAGTGAGGGCAGCTCTAAACTTCAAAATGGTATCCTGTCATATGATTCTTTCTAATTCTCTCGGAATTATTTAAACCAAGTCCTAAGCACAACTTGCTGAAGTGGATACTAACTTATACAACTTAAAGTTTCTGATACAACAATTAATTTTATCAGTAGACAGGTAAAAGTCAGTTGGGGATTTGTTTTAGTATGTTCTAGTATCCCTCTCATTTCAGGCACATGACTTTTAGTTAAGATTCCTTCATATATTAGCTTTTAAACAGAGCAGCTGATAAAATCTTCGATTAAAGGCTGAAGTTAATCATGTAAATTCTTTGAATCTTTCTTTGCTAACATTTCTAGGGGTTTCGTTTCTTTCCTTGGTCATTCAAAAATCTGCTTGTTTTTATGGAAAGACAGGAGTTGTCCTCAGACAGAGAAATGAAGGGAAAGAAGTTCAGCATGTCAGGGAGCCATGATATAGAGAGCCAACCTATACCAGGTTCTATGAGTCATGTGGACTAGGTAGGTTCCCCTTCTGCTTTTGGGGAAACTTTGGTTTCCTTTCTGTGAAAGAAAGGAATACAAATGAATATACTGATCAACTCAGATTTTTTTAATGGTATGATTTTATATTTTTTTCCCTAAGAACTAAAGAAAAATGTTTCCCTAAGAAAACTTTGAGTCTTTCCTATGATAACATAGGACACACTCTAAAACAATTTCGTTTTGAATAATTTCCACCAATTATATAGTTCATTATAAACTTAAGAATTAATAACAGAAAATATTTTTGCAGAGAGAGAAAATTATGACCCAAATAAAAAATTCATTAAAAACAAAAATTTGAGAATGAGTCAAATGCCAAATATTGTGTAATAAAAATGAAATGTTCTCAATTTTTGAAATGCTTGGTACGATATGCTGAGAATTCACAAAAAGGAGGGAAGAGTGTTTTTGTTTTTCAAGCTAAAAGTATGACAATATATTCCTTGACTTAAAACTACAATAGATTATGAATTTTTCTCTCTAGTGCAACATAAAGTAATGTTTATTCTTCCAATGCCTCATCAAGATGTGGAAGTGATCCTATCTTCTCAAAGTTTATGCCAGTAGAATGCAAACTCTACTGGTTCCCAAAGAAAGCTGGAAAATTTTCAAGTATGTGCCCAGTAGTTAAGGCCCAAAATGACATTAATAGGCATTTGAAGGTGGGGTTTGAAAAGGCAAATATTGCAAGCATCTTAATAGAAGAAACAGCTAGAAATAATAATCATTTAAAATGGGGGAAGAAGGTTAAGAGAAAAGTCAAAGTTTCTCAGTATTATAGCACTCCTTATAACGATTAGATGGGTTATATAAAGACATAAACACATAAGTCTAAACGGGACAAAAGATATAAAGATGAAAAATACAATTGCTTCTCTGTAATATCTTACACATTATTATTTTTAAAAGTTGTTATTCATAAGTATGCCATTTTTAAAAAAGGCATCAAAACTTAACAGAGATAAAATTGTCATTTCATATTGTATTTGTCTTAGTACAAAAATATTTTTATAAATTTACTAGATTAAAGAGAGCAATATTAATGGTTATTAAATACCTTAAAACAGAAAAATTGGTAATATTTTACAGATGCATTTTTTAAAATTTCATAGAGAAATGCTTCAATTTTAGAGTAAGAAGACATTTTTTAAATAATAGCCAGCATTTATATAGCATTTTCAGTTTCACAAAGAACTTTACAAATATTATCTCATTAACAAATAGTAATAATAAATAGCAAACAATGTTTTCAAAATACAAACAGCAATAATACATAGCAAACAATGAGTTTTCAAAAATATGCTTAGTTACTAAGGACTTAAATTTACCTTTTGTCATGCTTGAGCTAAATACTCCCAGAATTGACACACTAGAATAGGATGTTAATTCTTTATATAATTCCCCATTTAAATATTCTTCTGCTTCTTCAATAGTCACTATCTTCACTGGACATGAAATTCTGTTTCTGAATGATACATACAACCATATTCTAAATTATTTTAAAGCAATATTTCAGCCTATCAAAAATAAATTATACTTTTTATAGACACAACTAAGCATTGCTATTTTGAAACTTTGGCAGTTTTTAATAATATATCAGCTCCTTTATAATGACCACAAAATGTTGAAATGTGAGAAAGATCTCTATATAATCTCTCCTTTTCTGTTCAGTTATTCTACCTGTTGGTTCTCTCTATTGGGTCAAAATTGCAAATTAAAAAATTCATAATCAATTAACTCATAATTAGAAATTATATCTGCTTAAACTTCTGCCATTTTCTTTAGGATATTATGCCATTCCAATAGTGACGTGCATATACTTACAATCTTATGAATTTTAGGAGATACTCGGTTTCTAGCATACCAGTATAAATTACTGGCTTCTCTCCTGCCTTAAATATCTTTATAACAGGATATTCAGTGACATTTTGCTTTGTACAGACATTAGACCAATCTCCACAGTTGAGTCTAGTAAATAACATGTTGGACACTCCTAGATAAAAGAAAAGATAATAATATTTTTCTAGATATCAAACCCCCAAAACAGCCATTCAGAATTATTTGGACAAGAAAGGACTGTACTTACTCTGTGAAACATAAGGATATTATTTGGTGTACAATTTGAATACTGATTTAAAAACATGTTGAGCACCAAGGAAATAAATAATATAATGAAATATGCTAATTGTTAAGTTCAATAAATGGAAAGGAGAAATTAACTTTGTTCTTGATTGACAATTCTTTAAATTGTCAAGGTTGCCAAAGCTCTGAATTGCATTCACCTAAAATCTATTTATTAATAGGCCTACTAAGAGTCCCTCAAATTAATGTTAAGCATTGGATTCAAGAATCTGTAACTTATGACTGAATTTTCATTCAGAAATAAGAATTGGTTTTTTGGTTTTGTTTTTTTTGAGAGAGAGGGTCTCCCTATCTCACCTAGGATAGAAATACAGTGGCTGCTCTCAGGCTCTATCCCAATACTGATCAGTGTAGAAGTTTTGACTTGCTCCATTTCTAACCTGGAGTGGTTTGCCTCTTTTTAGACATCCTGATGGCTCCTGCTCCTCTAAGCTCATCATATTAGCTCTTTGCTTAAGTGGAGACGCCTGATTAGTTTACCTCCCTGCAGCTCAGAATTCTCAAGCTCAAGTAATACACCAGCTGCTGCCTCCCAGGCAACAAAGATCACAAGAACTCACCACAATGCCCAGGATCAAGAATTTTTTTTGTTTTGTCAAATATCAAAGACAGTGACATCTAATAGCAAAATTAAATGAAAAAAACTTCCAAATCACATGACAAACAATATGATAGACTAGATACTTTCCTCAGTCCTCACTAATTCTCAAAAAAAGAACATAAAAAATGCTGAAAGAAGAACGCTGCACCAGACGGGGAGCAGTTGCAGTTAGATACACAGGACAAAAAATGAAGCACAACCAGGTAAAATCCTTAAGAATTAATGTTGAAAAATGCTAATCCTTAGAATGCTTACTCATTGCCCTCTCTCAAACTTCCCGATCGGATTACATTGATCTCATCAGGGATCACAAATAAACTTTCAGGCTTGCACCTGGAGCCCCAATATTGGGATCTCCTCTTGCTACAGAGACATTGTAGGCAAGCAAAACTCACCCACTGCCTGTCCCTAACCCTACAACCTGATTCTGCCCAAGCATCTGAGGAGGAGAGGAGGGGACCTGTAGCTTAGCCCACCCTCTCCCCCACTTCAATTTTGAAGAAGTCCTATTTAGAACATGTTCCTCACCCACATCCACATCTGAAAAATGCAGCAGATGCTAATTCAGTTTAGGAAAAAAGCCAAGGGAGGAACTAGGGCAGGGAACCAGTATATCAGATGTCCTAGGCCTAAAGGAAAGGCAATTGAAACCCAGATGGGGCCAGTTCCACTATCACAGAGGCTAATGGCCAGGACAAAGGCCAGTGAAGCCAAAATTCACCAAAACAGGAGAAGGCTAAAGCAGCTTTGCAATATAGCTCTAGTGGTATACCTATCAGGAAAAGAGGAAAGAGTTAGAAAGTGAGTAATGGGGAAATATAAGAAAAAAAATCTGAAATGCCAAAGACAAGAGGAAAAAATTTTAACAAAAATCCAGAGAGCAAGTAGATTAAATCAATAGAGAGAATCCTAAAATCAGAAGGAAAGATGAGTACTAAACTCTCAAAGAAATTACATAGCTCTCAACAAATATTACAAGACAAAGAAAAGTAAACCAATTAAACACAGAAAATTGGGCAATCTCAACTAAACATGAAACAACAAGAATTTCAAGAATGGATTAAAACAGAAATAAAATCCATAAGAAGAAATTACAAATTAATACAGGTCAAAATTTAGAGCTCTTAAAGCAAAAAATTTTTAAAATTGAAGTAGCATGCTAAAAAAAAATCAGAGTTTGTACAAAGAAATGAAGATAGAATAACGGACTTGGAATACACAAATAGTGAAATGAAGGAAAATCTAGCAGAAGAGATGTGCAAAGTAACCATGTTAAACAAACACGTTATTTCTATACATGCCAAACCCCTTAACTTTGAAGACAGGATGCTTACAAATAGCTTACTAATCATACGTTGCACTGAAGAACATGACAAATTAAAATACCTGAGTATCATAATGGATGCAGGAAAAAACCAACTGCCCAGAACTTCAAAATACAGAAAACAAAGTACCAACTGAAGAAATACATGGATCACCTTCAGAAAAAAAAATCTATGCTTCAAAGTCCAAGATATAGAGTGGTTAAATTTAATTCCAATGCCAAATGACAACCACAGAGACCAAGAGAAAGATCTTCAACTATAAAAGAAAGAAAAGTCAAATAACAAAAAAGTACTCTGCACCCACTAGAAAGCTTATAGCGAAATGGAAGAATATATCCTGAAAAACAAAGGAAGTCAAGCTATAACTCCAAATGGCATAGCCTGCTACAAACCTGAACCTAATTATCAACATCAACAAAAAGACATTAAAAAAATAGGTAATTTATGCTCTAACTTTCTGGGGGGGAAATGCAAGTAAAGTGTGTGATTTGCAAATATCCTAAACTATGGAAACATAAGAAAAGCAAATAAGCACAACTGCCAAGGAAAGAATAAGTATTAAAATAAATGCCCCATTTTTAGATGTTATTTTTTAAAAGAAAGAGAAAGGCTGACCTATGGCATAAAAAACAAACGAGGAGAATATCAAAAGATTTTTTAAAAAACAGACAAGAGGATAAAGATGTAAGCCAATTTAAAGGAACTGGAGAAATGAAACAGTACTGAAACAGCATGGACTAAAACCCATGACTCTTCTACAAGTGAATCAATGATTCTTCTATGGAACAAAATTGCAGAATGTTAGGGTATATAAATGGGGAAAGTAGTACTGGAGGAAAGAGAAAAATAGGTGATGAACCCTTACCAAGTTAAAGAGTGAACAGCACAACAATCATTGGCTCTAATATATAGGGCTTATATAGCATACACACATACACACAATATTAAGTTTTGCAAGGTGCTTTTCATGAATAATACTTCATTTTATCCTTACAACAAGTAGTAAAAAGATAAGTGCTATTAGTCCCCATTTTACAGAGAAGGAAATAGAGGCAAAAAGAGGTTAAGGATCAAACAACTAGTAAGTATCTGAATCCAAATTTGAACTCAGGTCTTCTTGCCTCTAGATCCTCTAAAAACAGAGGCTTCAAAAGAATGGTAAAAGCAAAAGAAGGAAGGGACTGAATCTAAGGGAATAACAATGGGGGGGTGGTGGTGAAGAGCTGTCTCAACACAACAGAGGGTACCAGTGAATATAATTCCCATGGCAGTATAGGAATGCCTATGAAGAGCGATGGGGATCTGAAGATAGCTTTAATCTGGGGGGAACTGGTGCAAGAAGGGGAGGGGAAGGCTAAGTCTCTGAGTGTTTTGACTTTACAGATAACATCTTGCTCTAGGAAAGGGAAATGGTAGTTCCCAGAGGAAGCTGACACCCTCTGGGTGGGGGGGACATACACCTAGAGAAGAGATGGCATGGAGTAAAGGAGGATGATCATGAGTAGAAGAAGGAGTTGAACTGGATGGTACAATTTAGGACGCAATAATTTCTACCCTGTGGCATTCCTTCTATCCAAATTACTTTCTTCATTAATTGATAGTTCCAAGAATAATGAACTATAAACAAAGAAACAATGAGGCAAGATCTGTAAATATAATAGAAATTGATTAGGGACCATCACCAATTGTCTTGACCTTTGTCTTGCCACTGGACTCCAATGACTCTAGAAGAGAGAGCAAGGCTGACAACTTTGCATAGTTCTGTCTCATTCAAATCCAATTCACGCACAAGTCAAAATATCAAACTAAAGATGTCATTGGCCCTCTGAGAAGAAAAGCCAAACAACAACAGCAGAAATTGGTTAGAAAAGGGGACTGAACCTGGTACTTCAAAAGCTTTAACTCCATGAAGAACACAAAAATACACAAAGGAAGAATAAATAAGGATACAGATTACAAGTCAGAGAACAAAATTTCAAAATAGAAAGGGAATTGATGATAATAACAAAGCACAAAAATTCTTTTTTTTTTACAGATTAAATTTATTTTTATTTAGTATTTTACTTTCCCTAAATGGAAAACAATTTTTAACATTCATTTTTAAAACTTTGAATTCCAAATTCTCTTCCTTCCTCCCTCCGCATTCCCCCTCATTGAGAAAGCAAGCAATTCAATATGGGTTACATAGGATACAGATACATGTGTAATAATGCAAAATATTTCTGTAATAGTCATGTTCTAGAAGAAAACATACACCAACCCCCCCACAATAAAAACCTCAAGAAAAATAAATTTTAAAAAGTATGCTTTAATCCGTATTCAGACACCATCAGTTCTTTTTCTGGGGATGGATAGCATTTTTCATTATAAGTCCTTCAGAGTTGTCTTAGATCATCGTATTGCTGAGAATAGCTAAGTCATTCACAGCTGTTACTTTGTACACAGTATATTTCACTTTGCATCAGCTCATATAAATCTTTCCAGGCTTTTCTGAGAGCATCCTGCTCATCATTTCTTACAGCACAATAGTGTTCCATCATAATCACATACCACAATTTGTTCAGCCATTCCCCAAATGATGGGAATCCCCTCAATTTCCAATCTTTGCCACCAGAAAAGAGCTGCTTTAAATATTTTTGTACTTGTAGGTCATTTTCCTTTTTGTCTATTATCTCTTTTGGAATACATACCTAGTATGTAGGTATTGCTAAGTCAAAGGTCATGTATGGTTTTATAACCTTTTGGGCAAAGTTCTAAATTGCTCTACAGAATCGTTGAATCAGCTCACAACTCACCAAAAATGCATTAATGTCTCATTTTTCCCACATCCCCTCCAATGTTTATCATTTTCCTCTTCTGTCCTATTAGTCACTCTAGTATGAGGTAGTACCTCAGAATTGTTTTAATTTGCATTTCTCCAATCAA